GGAGCCCGGGCCCTGTGGCGGCCCTGTGCCCGCTGCGCGTGGTTTTACCGACTGGAGTGACAAGCTGTGTTCGCTGGTGTTTCCCCCCGGGCAGTTAACAGAGGCGAAGTGGAATGCCTGGTCAAGCTCTTCGAAGCGCTGGTGGCCGAGTCCAGCAGCCGCTTCGCTGCGGTGGGCTTTGACCGTAACATGTTCAGAGATGCCCTGCACCGCGCGTTTGGCATGACGGATGACGTGATCATGGACAGAGGTGAGACTGCTGGGTCGAAAAAAAGGTGTGCGAGTTTAGTTCTACAGTTGTGGCCCAATGATAGTGCTGTCTTATCCCAGCAAGGACACCAAAGGAAGAGTTACGCTCAGGAGCTGCTGAGTAAAAGATAACTTTATTTAATTTGTATGGAGTAGTTTTCCTGTAGTTGAGAACAGCTCGCGCTGCGGCAGGAGGGAGGCCTGCCGGAGGCAGCCGTGGTGCCGCAGCTCTCTGTCCCGCTCGTGACGGGAGGGCAGCATGGCGTCACTGCCCTCTTCTCTGGGGTTCTTCCGGGAGCTGCAGTCCCAGCTGCAGGTGGGCACCCCCGTCTCGGGCACGCAGGTCCCAGAAGGGCGTTATGACAGAGTGGAAGAGAGGAGCAGAGGTGCCATGAACAGCACTGAAGAGGCGAGGCAGGCCGTGCGGGGAGATGAGAGCCAGGAGCCAAATACATAACGCCTTGAAAACACAGCGACTTTGTGGATTCATAGCGTGAGGGCCACGTTTGCAGCTGCTGCAGAAGTGGCGTGGATGATCGCTGCTGTACAGGTGTCTGGAGGAGGATGTGGAGGAGGCATGGGTCTGCTGTTCCTTCATTCAGCAGCTGCCAGGAGTCACCCCTTTGTTCAACTTTCTCCTGTTGTCTATCAGGAGAGGTATTTAAATGCCATAAAATAAAAACTTGTTGCTGTTTTATGCAGCAAGTCAAGTGTGGCTTGGAAGATGCCTGACACGGACACATCCTTAAAAATTAATTTAATGCTTACATAGAAGGGGGCTGATTTCAGTTTGCAAAAGCAAACCTATTGTTTTCCAATTCCAAAATGCTTGCCTCTGCATGTAGAGGTGTTCCTGTAGCAAACTTACTAATTAATGTGCTAAAATATGTATTATTATAGATGTTAGTTGATGCTTTGAATTATATCTTGAAGTACTGTATTACAGGCTGTAGGAATAGTGAAGCTGCAAGATTTAAAGTTTCCTACTTCAGGAAAGGGAGAAGAAAAAAAAGAATTTTGGTACATGAAAGACAGGAGACGGATATTTTTCTTTGTGTGTGTTGTTTCTAGGATTACTTTCTGCAAGATTTTCTGAGACAACCTAATAATTAAAATCCTCTTCTGCATGCAAATGTGCCTTAGTGTAAGAGATACTGGTTTACATCTGCATGGAAGCGTACTTTCTGTAGTTTATAAAGATTCAAGAAGGGTAGTCATACCTTGATGAAAGCAGAGAAATATCTTTAGAAAAAAATATGGGTTTATATTTTCATTGAATTTAAGAAAATATTCTTTTGTTTGTGTTTCCCTAGTATATAAATTTTAAATGTATCTGATACACTTCCCAGTGTTCCGTACTTTTGATAGAGACAACGATAGCTGCATCAGTGTGGTGGAATGGGTGGAAGGCTTATCAATATTTCTTCGGGGGACGCTGGAAGAAAGGATTAAATGTAAGGCTTATCTGTATGGTATTATTTAGTAGTAATAATTGAATTCATGACTATTACATTACACATGGCTTTTGTTACAATGTAGTAGTTACTCTTACGAAGCGGTAATTGAGGAGTTTTCTTCTGAATAGTGCAGTCAAACTGAGTTCTGAAATGGCTTCTCTGAGACAGCTTTTTCTGTGTAAACTGCCATTATCTGGGCTGCCACCTTTGTTGCTGACAAACACTAGCATTTGAACTGAAGCTTGTTCTACAGTATGCAGTTTTGACAGAATATATGTTTTTGTATTGACACACAAAATTAGAAAGAAGCAGATGTAGCTGAAGGGTGATTTTGGCTAAATAATACACCCTCAAGCCAACCAAGACCTGTGCCAGCATTCATTTACTGGCAGAATGGGGGCACAGCAGCAGTAGCGTTAATTCTAGCAGTTCTTCAGCTTGAAAGCATAGATGGAAAAACTGAGTCTGTTTGTAAGATGGTCGCGATAACCTCCATGGTAATGATGGAGAAGGACGGGAGAAAAAATAGCAAGAACTTTTGATTAAGAAACAGAAAAAAAAATAGGAAAAAGCATGTTGTTTCCGTAGTTCCCAGGCTGCAGCATCAGCCATCCCTAATGCACTACATAAATTGATCTGGAAGGTAGCCTGGGATGTCACCGCGCTAGGTTGTGTGCCCTGGATGTAATCCAGTATGTCAGTACAGCTACAAGCAGTAAAATGATGCAGCCCTGCTGTAAGCACTGTGGAGTATACTGAGGCATAGTGATGTACAGTGTTGTCTAAGCGTATGCCAGTACAGTTTTTCACTGTAAGCTGTCTCTGTCAAGGAAAAAAAGGCTCTTGTGTTCCAAAAGTGAAGAGTTTTGTTTGTTTGTTTAAGTAAGTTTCGTGAAGGACAGTGACATTTGTTATGATGGTAGATTTCTGATTCGAGGGAGGTAGAAACAGTTAGAAGATAAATTAGGCAGATACTCAAAATGCTCTGTTACAGATGTTTCCTCTTTGCATTAAGGAAAACTTCAGTTCTCCATGCTAGTACAGCTTATTCTTCTTTTTCCTTTACTTTTCTAACCCAGCTTCTGAAACAACTAGGATGTGTTCTGTAGGTGCAAAGCTCTTCTGAAACAGACAGCTGGTCCCCGCTGTGGGAAACTGGGATTCTAAACCAGAACCTCGTTTATATTCTAAATTGACACGTTTAGAGAAGTTAAGATCTGTGTTGCTATGGTTTCTGTGAACTGGAGATAATTTATTTGAGCAGAAATAGATTTTAACTATGAAGGGTAAATAGCCAATAACTGACTTTTATATATATCAAAATGTGACACATATTTCTTATACAAATATTATATATGGTAAATGTGGCTCAATGGTTATGGTGTACAACATGAAATTCACATTTTCTGTCTGTAGGTGACAGCTTTAGTGGTGCGTGATATAGTTTGTATGAACTTTACTTTGATTTATCTTTCAAAAAGACTGTTTTGAGGTTTACGACCTGAATGGTGATGGATACATTTCAAGAGAGGAAATGTTTCAAATGCTGAAAAACAGCCTTCTCAAACAACCATCAGAAGAAGATCCTGATGAGGGAATTAAGGACTTGGTAGACATAGTACTGAAGAAAATGGCAAGTACTTTACTCGTTGTGATACGTGAGTGTCTTTCAAATATTCATTAACTAAACCTCAGAACGTTCCTGTGAGGCAGCTAAATACTGTGACTGCTTTACAGTGGGGTTCTGAGCCACGTAGTTAGTTACATACCTGAGAAAAACAAGTCTCCTAAGGAAAGCCAGAAATATAATCCAGACCTAATGAGTCCTAGTCCAGTATCCTCACATGAAACTGTTAATTTATTATATGAATGCATTGTAGACTTTATGTGTAAACTAACACGTGTATGTGTGCATACATGCATGTGCACACCCAGTCAAAACAAAAGTCCAGTCAGAAGCGGAAAATTCAAAAGCGTAATCTGAATTCATTTCAGTGTTAGGCATCTGCACTAGCTTTATTATTAAGTACATTTGTGTTTTACAATTGATCATTAAATGTCTTTATCCAGTTTATATATTCTATTATATTAGAATAGTAACCTCAAGGTTATTAATGTAAAACTTGCCTTACCACAGTTAATCTAGGATGTCCGGATCAGCCAGGGACTGTATTTCGACATTTTCATCGAATCAAGAATGAACACACACATGCACACATGTGCACACACCCTTCTATGGTGGTGTTCAAAAATCTTACTTAAAACCAGGTCTTGAATCCCAACTCCTTTTATTTAACCCTGTGTTTTCTGTTTCTCAAACGCACCCCTTTTGCACACCCTCAGCTGAAAGGTCCATTTTACCCTTAGTTCTTCACAGTGCCGAGTCCAGTTTCACACAGAAAGCAAGCTGTGACTCAGCACTTTGTTATCTTTGGAGCACCTACGTGCTCAGCTTTCCTGCAGGTTGCATCCAGAATGAATACCCTCATGTCTGGGCAGCTGGTAAGTGGACTGTGCATGTCCAAGCACAAGCAGTATCCTCTAGACTTAACGAAATCTTCATATATGTAAGATACATAGACTGATAAATAATCATGTACATAAAATCCTGTTACATAAGAATTTGAGAAAGCTCTGGTACTTGTTTGAAGAATGTCCAGACCTGATCTGGCTCCTGGGCAGTTGCCTGAGCAGGTTATTGCTGATTGCTGCCCATGTCAAATAACAACTAATTATTAGATATCCAGAAATGCATTTGTGGAGTCCATCACTCAAAGCAGAAAAAACTGCTCTTTGAGCCTGTAAGTACAGCTGCACTGTGACCAAGCATACGTCTAGTCCCGTGATAACCGTTTTCGTACTTAAAAGCATTTGTAATGAACATGCTCATGCCCTGCCCTCCGCTGTGCTGAGGAGTGTAAAAGGTCGAGCGTAGCCGGCCGCTTCTGTTTCTCTTAAGCATCCAGCAGCAGGCGTTCCTGATCAGGAACTTTTGCCTGCATAACTCCTTGCCCCTGCTTTTCTGACCATTAGAACCTGTGCTCCTTGCATGTTCACCAGCTTGATCTTCAAAAGTTTTGATTTGGCCCTGTGCCTTGAACACTAGTTGTATCCATCCATATACCTGGGTGCCGTGATTTTATGTGGTTTAAAGAAGTACTTATGCTCACCGTAGTGTTTGTTGGTGTTTTAAGCTGCCATGACAGTAGAAACAGGAGGTGTTCAAATTGCAGAAATACTAAAAACACAAGGATGCTTTTTCCACCCCAGAGGAATCCTCTGCTGAGATTCTGCAGTACGAAAGCAGTGGGCTGGCATCACCCTACTCCACCGTATCCTTCTGGGTGCTGCCCGTGACAAAGACAGGGCAGAAGTATGCCAACTGTAGAAACCACTAGGGTAAAGTATTTCCAGTCTCAGGAATAGTGTGTAGGTACACTCATGATGTAAATACATCTGCTGAGTATATCCTAATGTTCTCGCTTACGTTTATCTTGGTGCAGCTGTGCTGGAGATTTGTCCATGCAATTCTCATCTCAGCCTCTTCCCATGTTAAAGTTTTCCCTTCTCTGGAATTCTTTTAGCAAAGCCATATGAGATAGTTGAGCTTTATGCCTTAGGTAGAGGCAAATGATAAAGATCTTATCTGAGCAGAGACCGATGGCCCAAAGAAAATTATTTTTGTATACACTCAAACTAAAAATAGAATCCGCGTGAATGTCTGTTAAACAAAAAGACAGTTGCTACAAGTGATCCTCCTCTGCTGAAGAGTTCCCTTCCTTTTGTAGGACTATGATCATGACGGCAAGATTTCCTTTACGGACTTTGAAAAAGCAGTCAGAGATGAAAATCTTCTCTTAGAAGCCTTTGGACAGTGTTTGCCAGACATAAAGGTACATCAACCTTGAGTTTAAAAAAAATGTGCAAATACTTTCTGGACTATTGGTAAGGAGATGTATGTATTATGGCATTAGCTGTCATTGCATGGGGCCTGCTGAAGCCAACTGAGAAGTGCTTCAGCTGTGAGATAGCATGTGCTGAGTCCATACCTACCTTTCATGGCACCAGTGTTTCCTTGCAGTCAAACACTGGTGCCAGAGAGCGTACGAACACAGCGTTACTCAGTGTTTGTCTGTCCGGGGCAGCAATATAATGAATGATCCTCAGTGAGCACCCTCTCAGACTAAGAAAATGAGACTGTTCCCTTGAATTGTTTATCCAAAAGCTTTCTGGAAACCCAGCTTCTGTTTTTCTTTCTTCAGTGCCACTGTAGATGGCAACGCTGCCATCACCTCACTTACAGCCTCTTCTGGGAAAGGCTAGTAACTTTCTGAAAAAAAATACCTTCAGAGTGTTCATCTCAGAGTGTGGCGCTGCTGTTTTTTAATTAGATCTAACTGGGCTTTATTTGTTAGCAATCCATCTAATTCAGTTCAGATTTTTTTTTTAGCAGATGGTCATTTACAACATGCTCATTTCCTCAGTGTTAAGTTCAACTGCGTAGAGCATTTCTGCTCTGTAACAATTTTTTTCCTAATCCAGTAATCATTATTCTGTTTGAACTGCATGCCATTTTTAAATGCTGAAAGCTGTGCCTTCATAAAGATAAGAAGAACAGAATTCTGGAATACACGCACTGATTCCTAGACTGCTGGAAACATGGCAAGTTTTCAGTTTCTAGAAACCTGTACTTCCTGCTAGCTCACCTACCTGGTAGGCTGGGGGACGGGCAGAAAGCATCGTGTAGCCACTACTGCAGGCAGTATTACATCACGTCAGCTGCAAGGCAGCCATTTCCAAAACACCAGACTTCTCCTGGCAGGCTGTCAAAAGACTTTCAAGGGTTTGGGAAAACCCAGTAAGTACTCTATTTTTTACACCAGTGAAAAGCTTTTTTAAAATTTCTGAACAAAATCTACATTCACTTATCAGCATAGACTTGTTTTCTGTCAGTGTTGGTGATAAAGCAGGTACACAATTCAGGCTAATCATGGCAAGAAATGGAAAACTCTGCCTGTTTCTTGCTTCCACTATGTGTCCCCTCTGGTCTGTACCCTGCCCATCTTTTGCCTTTTTACTAGGTCTCTAGTTTCACTGTTGAAAGAAAACTATTTACATGTCCTTTCAAGCCCGAAAAGCAACAAATAGATGTTGGCTATCAGCTTTACATGTAGAAAACCCATAGTTTAGTAGCTGGCGTTATGTTGGGGAATTTTAATTGTACCCCTTCACATAAATTAACACTCATTTGTACTTAAATATATTTTAAAAAATGTAACAAACAACGTATTGGACAGACTCCTACCACCATAAGCGGTTCTACAAGGCGTCTGCAAAGATGCGCCACGAACCGATCCCTTGTACGCGCTTGTCCAGCACCAACCCCGTGAGCGTCAGCACGGGGCACCTCAGCCAAGCGTTGGGTCCATCCTCCAGCGCCCATTCTGCTGCCGAAGGCGGCCCCCGAGCGCTCGCTCCCGCTCCAGGACTGTTACAGTGCAGTGCTGCGGGGGATTTGTTACCTCGTCACCAAGGGAAGCTTCGCTCTCAGCGTGGTCTGCAGAGGGACCGCTTTGCCCTCCATGCCAGACTGCTCCTCGGTCACGCGTTACCACTGCTGAGCAGTTACAAATTGAATTTCCCCTTCAGTTATAACTTCAAATGCTCTGGTCTCTCGGTGATGACGCCATTAGGGCTATGCAATTACCTCTTCTAAGCTAAAAACCGAGGTATCCTAAGCGTAAGGACTGTCACTGCTTATGCGTTTCAGTTGAGCATCTTTTCTGATTAAATTTAAATCCTTTAGTTAACTGAAAATGAACTTCTTTGGTTTTGTTTTTTCTTTCTTTTTTTTTTTTTTTTAACAGAGCAGTATGGCATTTGAACAGAAAACTTTCCGGGAAACTCGTAAACTGTAACTCCAGCTCCAAGTGGACTGCTGTTGTACGAGGTTTCATCTTCACCATTCTTCATGGTAGAGTAAAAATAGGAGCAACTTGAAACTGTTACAAAGTTTAGTATTCCTTTACTGTAAAAGCTACTGAATAAATAGAATTTACCTATATTACTCCAGCTAAATATAGTTCTTCAATGAGTTATGAAATATATTACGGTATGAGGTACACAGGACAAGACCGTGACAATAATACATTATACTGGTTTGTTCATTCCAAGAAACAAATTGATACAATTTTTAGCAGGGAATTGCTTGGAAATACAGTTTTATTTTTGACATAAAAAAATAAGTATTTTAAACTATATCCTTTAGAAAAGGACTGTTGGAAGATGCTGCCAGCAGTATCTATATTCTTCTCCTCTGCTTTACAAGTGGTTTGGCTGAGCTACTCTCTGGTTTCTCCAAAGACGTTCTTGAAACAGAATCTGCTACCTAAATTGGGAAAACAAAACAAAAAAATCTTGGAAAACTGTAACCACTCCTCTTTTATGCCAGTTTTAGAGTAAGGCCATGTCTCCAACATTTGAGTATTGGGAGGGATATACTACTAGAATCACACTTGTATTGAATTTTCCTGCAGAAAAAGGTAAAAAAATAACACCAAAGGCAGCATTAAACACAAGAGAAGTGAAAGTTAGAAAACAGAAGTTTTAGTAGTACCAGTTTTTAATTTTAACCCCACAAACTGATTTCAGATATTCAGTAATAGAGTGTTACATATTTTATCACCCCTTTCCCTA